GAAAAGGAAAGACCTGGGTGTGGGGAAGGCTCCCGCAGCCCTGTGTGGAGGCGCAGCGCTGGGGGCCACGACCCGGGCGCGGCTTTCGTAGATGGCGAGTCTGCTCATCCTGCCGGCCTAGTCCCCATGAGTCAGCAGCACAGCTGCAGGCAGAGTGGGCAGAGGGCGTCTAAATTTAGTCATTGTTTAGTTGAGAAGGTTTTCAGGGACTGTTTGTCTCTCCTCCATGACTTTAGTCATATTCTTTCTTCTGGAGGGGAAAAAAACAAAAACAAACAAAGAACAGAGATCGGTCACTCCAAGATATGTCATGAGAGTGACTGTCCTACAAATCTGTTGGCGGGTCTGCCGACGACGATCCTCTTTAGTTAACTGTGGACGTACTGTTTGAGTCCTATGGCTCCTGACCTTAGGAACCCGCAGGATCCTGGGCCCTGGAGGGAATTTCCTGAAGGCAGATTAACAAACAGGCTCCCAAAGCTTGCTCGTTCAAAGACGTTTGCAACCGAGCTGCCTTCCTCCCAAAGGGCGCTGGAGCTGGAGGGCAGTGGGCTTGACAACAGCAGTGCCACGCGCTCTGCCAAGGGCTCATCTCCTACACCCTCACTAAGGCCTGCGGGGTGGGCAGCATTCCTGTGCTCCAGGTGAGCCACTGGCGCTCAGGTTGTATCCTCGCTCAAGACTCTGCACGCTGGCAGGGCTGGGGCACGAGCCCAGGTCCGCCTGGCTCCAAAGCTGATGCTTCTCACGATACACTGTCCTGCACTCTGTGGAGGGTGTTGGGAATCACCTAACAGTTGTCCTGCTTTATTTTCTCTGAAATGATTCTTTGGAGATTGATGCTTTGTCAGATTACGTCGCAGATTAGGCCAGCTTTTTGTTGTTATTGTCTCGGACATCCTCACAGTGTCATGCTTATAAAAATACTGTATCAAGGATTCAAGATTCATAGACAGAAATTATGAAACTGAAAAGGAAGAGAACTAAAGTTATGATGGGTGAAGGAGATTAAGAAAAGGAAGGGAGATAACGTAAGAGGGGGGGAAAGAGAAAAGACAGGTTTTCTCCTGTTTGATACCTGGACTAGCTGGCGTTATTTTAGCCTCAGGAATTTGGATGCCATCATCTGCAAAGGGTGAAGAATCATCTTGAAAACACTGGCTTCCGAAATTCTGCCTAGTGGTGGTGTGGCCATTGGCTAAGTGTTCAGGCTGTTCTTTCAGAGCCAAATACATTTGCAACCAAGCAAGGAGCAGTTGACCCAGCTGCTTAACACAGGTCAAGATGGCACATTTGACCTTCCTGACAGGAGTTTATGACTACATGGGCAGAGAGAGTACTTACCCTCTAAACCACTTTCTTCTCCTTGGACTTTAGCACCTTTTTGAAAAGTGCCCTCGGACTTCCCTGGTGGTGCAGTGGTTAAGAATCTGCCTGCCAGTACAGGGGAAACGGGTTCGATCCCTGGTCCGGGAAGATCCCACATGCCGCGGAGCAACGAAGCCCGTGCACCACAACTACTGAGCCTGCGCTCTAGAGCCCACGAGCCACAACTACTGAAGCCCGGGCACCTAGAACCCGTGCTCCGCAACAAGAGAAGCCACCGCAATAAGAAGCCCACGCACCACAACGAAGAGTAGCCACCACTTGACACGACTAGCAAAAGCCCGCGCATAGCAGCGAAGACCCAACACAACCAAAAATAAATTAATTAAAAAAAAACTTTTTTTAAATGCCCTCTTCCATCCTCACAGTTAAAGTGTTAATAGTTTTTAGTGAGGTACTCTGCAAGGGGTTGGTTAAATCTTGCCCGGTGGGATTATAGACTGGCAGACATACAGTATATGAGAGATTTAGTGATAATCATAATTATGAAATAGTTTATAATGTTATGAATAGTTATGAAATATTTTACCTGGTAAAGAAGTATAAATGGGGAAAGCTTGTCGCAATTGATCAACCTAAGAAAACATCATAGAAGAAATGTAATTTTTGGAGCTGCTTGCTGAAAAAGAGACTGTCGTGAATACTGGCTATAAAAGTCGTCTGGCCTCAAAAGATCGGGTTGGAGGAACATATTATGTGACATCAAATCAAATCTAGGTTGAGATGTTTAGCTAATCTCACTAATCGTAAAAAGAGTATCAAATGGTTTGGGGGAAATGAGTGAAGATGTCATTTTGTAACCAAGGTCGCCTAATCAAATATCCTCTAGATTGCATCAACCGCTTTTCATCCATCCTTTGTTTCTAAGCGGGATTGACACGCGGTTTATCTGGAGGGGTTTCCTGAAGTCCTCTTGGTAGGATAGGTGCTCCTTAAGTGGAGTAGTTACCCTCTGAATTCTGGCCTGAATTCTTCCCACAGTAAAACCTTTTGCTGTTTAAACTGTCGCTCATTATCACCATAAAATATCCCTTGGTATATTTCACTGACGACATCAGTTCTCAAACTGTTTCATCTAAGGAATCCTGTACACGCTAAAAACTTACTCAGGACCCCAAAGAGCTTTCGTTCATAAGTATTGTTATATATTACTGAAAAATCTTGAAAATATTATTAATATTATTATTAATTCATTTAAAATAGCAATAACCCATTACATGTTCATATAAATCACATATTTTAATTGGAAAGAGCTATATACTTTCAAAAACAAAAGCAAAGTCAGAAAAGTCCACTGACATGGTGGCGTGAGAAGAGTGGCATTGTTTTACATTTTTACAAATCTCTTAGTGTCTGCATTCAGTCTTGTGTATGATACATTGTTTTGATTAAAGTACATAAAGAACATCTGGCTTCACATGGATGTCTATGTGGAAAAGGGAGGAATATTTTAATAGTCTGTCCAGACAACTGTGGGTATTCTTCTTGGCAGTATACTGAAACGCCAGTAAGTATATAGTAGTTTCTTAAATGTTAGTTGCAGTGTGGAATCTGAAACCATGTCAGTGGACTTTTCTTACTTTGAGATATTAAAATCCGGTGGTCTAACTTGTATTTTGAATGAATCTTTTACCCATGCATGATTTTCTCACACCATGCATCTGATTATGTGGAAAATATGGGTTCATTGAGTTATGCACATCTTCCAGATGTTAATACGTTTCAGTCTATAATATCAAAAGACCACATTTGTTGATAATCCCATTGACCGCATCAGAAAACCGAGTATTAGGAAGCTGTCAAGCTCGTGGTAGTGGGTATGTTTCCCAAAATTCTGATTTTAATTGGATGGTCAAATTTTATCATTGGCAACAAATATTAGGTTTTTTTCTTTGAAGTGACGGGCTCACCTTGTTCATTTTCAAGTCTTAATCATTGTAATTTACCTGTCGGTTGCTCTTTTGAGGAAAAACAGCATCTGTGGAAAAGCTGCTCGTCGATCTTGCAACTCAAACAGATGCGCAGGAGCTTTTTGCTTAGGGAGGGTGCTGTGCTTTGTTCCGTGGAGAAGGGCTTTATGTGTGCCTGCTGTTTTGTCACACACAGTATTACGAACGCTTACAGTTTAATAAAATTAATAATGTTCACTGCTTCATCAAGGTCACTCTTGAGTGAAACTGGCCTTTTTTGGGTTTTGTTTTGCTTGAGAGCACGTGGCCAGGAAGAGTACAGTCAGCACCCGCACCCTCTGGTGCCTCCCTTGACTTGTGCAAAGGCTCCAGGAGTTCTCCCCACCATGTCTTTGCATTGTTAGTGCAAATGTCAACACAGCAGAAAAGGCAAATCATGTATTAATATCATTATAAAAATCATTTTGGGGCTTCCCTGGTGGCGCAGTGGTTGAGAGTCCGCCTGCCGATGCAGGGGACGCGGGTTCGTGCCCCGGTCCGGGAAGATCCCACATGCCGCGGAGCGGCTGGGCCCGTGAGCCACGGCCGCTGAGCCTGCGCACCTGGAGCCTGTGCTCCGCAACGGGAGAGGCCACAGCAGTGAGAGGCCCGCGTACCGGAAAAAAAAAAAAAAAAA